AAAAAAAAAAAAAAAAAAAAAAAAAAGAATTAAGTGCTTTAAGTTAAAGATTAGGATATACCATTAATTCATAACCTAAAGCAGGGGTGAACAACCTAAGGCCTACAGGCCAAACCCTACCTGTTTTCTACTGTCCTATAAGGATGTTTTTATAGTTTTAAAGGGTAGTTTAAAAAAATGACGATGATGATGAAGAGGAGGAGGAAGAAGAGAACAGAAAGAGGAGGAGGAAAGGAAGGCTATGTAACAGAGACTATCTGTGATCTATGAAACCTAAAATATTTACTTTCTGGTTCTTTACAGAAACAGTTTGTCAGCCCCTGCTCTAAAGACACAGCTGGCTTTTCCTCATTCCTTCCTGTCCAACATGTTCCCTCCCCAGTCAAGCTCTCCAGGTCTTTCCTAGGCCTTTATCAACTTAAATATGTGTGTGTTCATGTGTGGTTTCAAAAAAATCAATGAAAAGTAGATTTGAATCACCAATTCTCAAGTTGGTGACATCTGAGCAGATTTATCAGTATGAAAGACAGAATTACGGATATGTATGTGTGCACGTAAGTCAGCTTGACCTATTATAGATTACATACCCAGCTACCATAGGAGAAAACAGTAAAACTATTAGCAGTGATTTTTTTTTTTTTTTAGCCCTTTCAGTTTAGTGGGAGATACTGTCAGAAAGACAGTGCTGGACTGATTTCTCTTTGTGAGTATAAAACATGAAAAATAAAAACATGCTTATGAGATACAAATGTCCTTTTACCCACTGAAAGCATTACCAAAAAAAAGGCTCCACTTCAGCACTTTACTTTAAAATTAACTAGGTCATTTTTTTAAATAAGGATTTACCAGCTATTCTCACTTCCTGCAGATATGTGCCAAGATCTGGTCTTTTCCATCAGAGATGTATAGAGTTTATCACCACTTCCAGTTTTCTCATCTTACAGTATTTTCAACCTACCTGCATGCTATGCTCTAAAGCATCCGCATATCATATCCATGTGAATTTTCCACAAACAAGTAAATTACCAAACACCTTTTTTTTGATGCAGCCAATTAATATAATGCCAATTATACAGTTTTATGTTCAACATCTACTATGATTCCCTGTGTGTTACGGGATGTTTTTCATATTTGCCTTGAGTCCATTGGCAAATTCAATGTACTTAGAAACTGATTTTTCCCAACAATGACATATTATCCCTCTGCTATAAAAAAGTAAATTGAGGATAGAACATTCCAGTGATTGTTCAGAAATAAAGCTTGTAAGGGCAATTTATGTCTCTAATACCCAGCTATGTCAAAATACAACCATGATCAATATTTAATATTTATCTTCAATGACAAATGTGAATGAAATGGTCAAGCAACTAATATAATGCTCTAATCAATTTCCTTTGATCCCCACTGTGACTGTGATCCAGAATTGTCCTGTTGGAATCGCTTCTCGGCCTTTTGGCTAAGATCAAGTGCAGAATTGTCCTGTTGGCATAGGATTCCTCTCCAACTGATAAACCAGACTAGTTCTTGCAATAAGCATGGAAGTCAAACATTACTTTGTAATTTCTGTTCTTTCTTTGCTGAAAAGTTTCATTTGTAAAAATAATTTTAATTGTACAGTATTGTTTATTGTTTGAATATTAGGTTATAGAAATCCAGAGACTAACATTAAGCCAGTCCCTTCATTTCTTTAAAAATGAGAACATAGGGGCACCTGGGTGGCTCAGTCGGTTTGAGTGTCTAACTTCAACTCAGGTTATGATCTCACAGTTCATGAGTTAGAGCCCCACATCATGCTCTGTGCTGACAGCTCAGAGCCTAGAGCCTGCTTTCGATTCTGTGTCTCCCTCTCTCTCTACCCCTCCCCCGTTTGTGCTCTGTCTCTTTCTTTCTCTCAAAAATAAGTGATCAAGAAAAATTTTAATGAGAAAATAAAATAGAATTCCAGAAATAAATTGGTCTTGAAACTTGTGAGCATATACTGCATAATGCACAGTATAGACTTGAGGGGGGTACTGTTTTCAACTGTGGATGCTTAAGGAAGAAAAATCCAAGTCCAAAGCACACTGTAGCTGATGCTAATATACTTTCTCTTAGCAAGCAGTAAACCAGCTGTGTACTTTTTGGAGGTTTAATCATCTGAGATTTGTTAATGAGACCTAGTGCTGACCAGGTAGAGCAAGGGAACTTGTATATAATACAGAGATGAGATGAATAGTTAATTTAGGGTATGAAACTTATTCCAAAATGGAGTGCATTGAAGTTACAATAAATATCCCTAAAACATCACTAAATTTTTTTAAAAAGTAAATAAAAGGGAGACAGAAGACATTAATTAATTCATAATAATTGAATAATTGATGTTATCAAGAATAGTCTAAAGAAGTACAAAATCTTTGAAATCCCTGAAGGTTGCCCACTACCTTATTCTGGCTAATCTGTTCATTTCTGAAGTCTCATTTCTGAACCCATCATGATTTTCTTAAAAAGAAAGAAAAAAAAATCACCCTTTAGAAACAGATCTGGAAAGGTTTTAAAAGTCACTGTTGCTCTGATAACATGGTGACACATCAGCTGTGTTCCTGTAGTTAATGAGCTTATATACTCCTGCAGAGAGAAAGCTGAGCCGTCCTGAGGGACTATAACATGGCAAATGCTCCCAAGCAATTAGAGGCTGATTAAGTGTTTATCTCATTTACAGGTGGGAAGGAAAGAATGAAAATGAAGTGGGCAGATGTAAAGAGACCGGCAAAATTCATGTGACTGTGGATCTCAAATACTACCGACCAACTGAAGTGGTAAGGACTCCTTGGCCACCCAGTTGGTGGCCACATTTGGCTGGCTGGGAAGATGTTCTTAGTGAATATCTTCAGTCAGCCTTCAAAGCTTTCCATTGGGTTCTTTGACCTCCTTCAATGGTCAGTTCCCAAACCAGAGTACAGTGAAATGAATTTGAGATGTTATTCCCAGCACAAAACTTGAGATGTTATTCTCAGCACAAAATCTATTGCTTTATCAAGGAAACAAGGGTAAAATACAGCCAAGGAAATAGTTGTTTTGAGAAACAGAGACTCTATCCAAGGCAAGTCTCCTCACATTATTAGCTTTAGTAGCTGATCCCTGATACAGGATGTCTGACTTACAAGGCCCTCCATGACATGCAAGATCTCAAGACCAGAAGAGCTACATACTTTCCCATATGCACATACACTCACACATGTACACACACTCACATGCGCTCACATGCACCCACACAAACCTAAGCCATAAACAGTCCCCCTGTACATTTTGTTAAGATTTAGCTCATGTACTGTCCTGCCTATGAATCCTTTTCTGGTCAATATACTACTACCTCCTTCATTTGTATCTACATTATATGATATCCATAATCATGCTATAGCACCTATTATAATTTATTATACTCCTTTGTTTACATGACCTTCTCTTTTTACTGAACTGTGAATTCTTTGAGGATAAGGACTTTTTTTTTAAATATCTTAGGCTATAATAAGTAGGTGGTTAATAAATGTTGACTGATGGGTGAATGAATACAAAAGTTTTCTATATTAAGAAATGACCTGTAGATTGTTAGCACCTATTATCCTCCTTTCCCAAATTTATAAAGGTTTTTAGCTTGGTGCTGTCACTTTAATGTGGTCTACCTTCACACTATGGTGACAAAACCCAGCATGTTAAGTAGATCTAAAGATAATCAAAAACAGCATCTTCAGAGAGAAGTTCAGAGCTTTCCTAATGAAATGTACGTTAACTGCAAAAATAGAACTATTTTATCTGTGCTTTGAAACTTCTACATTGTACAACCTTTCAGAGATTAGGAAAACCCCAGAGAAGAGAGGCTGACAGTGAGTATGTCATCAGTAACCACCTCTAAAATGTCTTTTTTAACAAAAGAATAAACTTCATTTCATGTACTCTGACACACAGGAGGAAGTAAAAAGGAAAGGAAATCAGCAGTGCTTAGAGACTAGAGCGGTAGAGTCAGTGTATTGTCTTGGCACAGGGCGTGGCTGGGTCTCTAACACACAGTGAACAATGGTTCCCTGTGCTAATGGCAAGTGGGTGTGCCAAGGAGAGGATGTGCTCCATCTCTGGGGGAGGAAGATACCAGTACACTCCTGCTGACACCGCAAGGAATGCCTGTCTGTGGAGCCCCCTAGCCGCACTGGCATTTGTTTCCCTGTCCTAAAGAGGTGCCACAAGGATGTCATTTTTCCAGACCATTGCACAGATCACATAAATGGATGAATTTGTTTCTGTCCTCATGAACAAAAATTGTCATCTCAGAGTGGAAAATTTACCGAGCCGACAGAAACCTCCATCCTTGTAACAACTGAAACATGGTTCTTTCTCTCTCTGACACCAAAATAGTTTCAAAAGCGAGGAAGTCATTAAGAATGGCTTGTCTGTCATTCTTACTTAGGCAAGGTGGGGAATTGATAAGGACACAAAACAAAAGAATTTGTTGAACAGGAAAAGGACCCTTGGACTAACAAGACAGTTCTTAGAGTCCGTATCGACCCCTCTTTCCTGCCCCGACACTGCATCCCTCCTCATTTCTCTTGTCCATTCAAATGTCATCATCATACCTGTTCTGCAATTCTGTTTACACTAATGTTGTTGTACGTTAGTACATCTTATTTCATATGCTTGCTTGCTTTTGTCACCTGAGATGGAGCTCTCTCCCCAGATTCCCTTTTGATGTGGGATTCCCTGCTTGATTTAGGATTTTTAACTACATTTCATCTTTCTAAGCCTTTAGGCTGTGATCATTTTTGTTCACTCCACTTCAACTCGATATTCTGTTGGACAAGCTTTTCTTGTATAGTGAAACTAAACTTTTAACCTCATTTCTCAAAACAACAAGTTTTCCAAAACTTGGACCAGCTTGACAGACTTATATTGAATTGCCTTAGGGGTGATAGTATTGTTCTAGTTGAAAGGTGACCAGAACTGGAGACTGACTTGTAAATGAGCTTTCACTTAGGTGTGGGGCCTTAATAACCAACACATCTAGAGTCATTCAGCATGAGTCCTGAAAAGCACCCAGTTTCTCTGAGGTTTGTCAGCACTCAGTGTAGGGTGAAAAGGAATTTTCCCAGGTCTAAACTGGATCCTTCCCATGTAAGTGTCTTAAATCCATCTTGCAAGCGCCAGAGGCTTTTTTCCTTTCTTCCTTGAATTCTTTAAGTCTGATCTCCTGATTAGCTTTAATCATGCATCCTCCAAGATTTTCAGCATATAGGGCACTCTGAAGCCAAAAACATAAACTAAACCTTCTTAACAGTCAAATGGTTCCAAAATGACTGCTAGGGAAAAAATATACCATCAAGAAAATTTGAAAAAATGATAAGGACATATCACGTCTCAGAACATCAATACCCTAATGCAGCTATAGGGATTTAGAAGTTTATGTTGTTTTTTGGATAAGAGTCAGGCTAGTTTTGAGAAAGCCTCTTTACTCCGCATAGGACAGCACTACCCCAGAAGAGACCACTGATGATGCCATATAGAACATACTTCCACATGCAGTGGAATTTTTGTCCTCGTTGACTTAGCCACCAAAAAACCTTAAATTTTGCTTCTGTTACCAACATGGAAGGTCTTGAAAGTTTTTGCTCTGAGCTAAGGACTCTGGCATCCAATTAGAGCTGAATGGAATCACAGTCTTTTAGTTCTTTACCTATCAACCTCTATGTTTCCTTTAAATGTTAAGTTTGCCTCTGTGAAGATCTTGATCCTAGACATCAGACTTTAAATCTCCCATTGCCCCTGATTTCCAGTATCTGGTGGTGGCAGTATTAACACTTGAGTTCTGTGTCTCTTAAATATCCTCTCTTGTATATAATTTCCTATATGTGTACCCATTTATACACAGACTCGTTGCAATGTGCTTCATTCAGAAAGAAGAAGTAGTATCATGCCTAAGTGTAGGCCATAAGGCCAGAATGCCTGAGTTCAAAAACTGCCGGTGATTAGCTGTGTAACATTACGCAAGTTACTCAATTTTTCAGTGCCTCTGTTTCCTTGTCTTTAAAAATAGAATCAATAGGAAAGCAAGAAGTCTATAGCAGTATTGAAGAATTAATAGTCAATTATACAAAATGCTTATTAAAATAGTATCTGGCACACAGTAAAATACCGAATATTGATGCTATTCTTGTTATTTATGTATTCATTCATTTACCAAATATTTACTAAACACTATCTTAGGCCCATGAACAAAACAGACACATTCCCCACCATTGTGGAAATTGTACATGTAGAGAGAGGTATAGATCAGTTACTTAAATCTAGTACCTTTTTAAAAGTACAATGACACATGGTAAATTGTATAGATTAACCAGTAAAAAGTAGATAAGCATAATAAAGGCCTCAAGCCAACATTAATAAGTACATTGATATTTTTATTCTTGATTTTTATCTTTTCTGATTCTCCTTCTGAAGCTTTAGTAGCTCTTCAGTGGTATGGAAATTATAATATTGATTTATTACTTAGTTTAAAATAATCATGAGGATGTCTTCATTTTAAGAATTTTTCACTTGGAAAATTTGCAAAGGTTGGATTAATGAGAAATTTGTTTGAATGTGCTGAATTTTTAACCACACCAAAAATCAATCCATTTAAGGGAAAAAAAAGGCTGAGTTTTGTTTTTGTTTTGTTTTTTGTTTTTTCAGTTAAACTAACAAAAATCTTTTTTTTTTCTGCAGAGTATTTTAGGAAATGGCATAGGGGATACATTCACAAACCAAAATTCAAATCACATACTTTTCATGAAAAATATCTTGACTTAAATGCTACTAGATGTTGTAAATTAAAATTTTTTCTTGCTATTATATTCGTTTTAACATTCATTTTTCCTGCCATTGTATCTCTAGTGTCCTCAATTGTAATTGGTTTTTGTTCTGTTTACTTAGATACTTTATGTTTATTACCATTCTTTATAGGTATTAGAAAAAATCATGAGTTAAAATCCAGAATTGAGAAGGCAGTAACTTCAAAGAAGTCCAACAAGCTAGTTAAAACAACACCTTCCTTCAGTAAAAACATGTGGCCTGTTTCTAATCAAATTACCATATGCTTGTCGAGTTGTCCCCTCTGCAAACTTTTCCTAATATTTTTCTGTAAATGATGTTAAGTTAAATGGCCCATAATTGCTTGCTCTATTCCATAGTCCTGTTTAGAATAATGCTGGGTAACACTTTCCAGACCTCAGGAATCTGATCTGTCATCAGAGGACGTGTATAAATGCCAGCTAGAGCTTCCCTCAGCTCCATCTCTGAGTACTGGGGGTCTTGAAACTGTCCCCTTTCTCTCCCATCTCTGTTCTAACCACCTTCTCACACTTCCCCTCCCAAAGCAGGAAATTAGATCCTCCCAATTCCAACCCTTCATCTTCTCTAGCACTGTTACAGCCAGTTGATCCTTCCCCGTCCTGATCCTCTGACCTCCAAAGCTCTAATCCTACCCCTCCACTCCTGCTTTTCTTTGTTCCTTGTTTTGACTGGTGGGAGCTAGGGTAAGAAGATGCAGAGAGAGCAAATTAAGGGCTAGTCCCTTTCTTCTTGCATTCCTGGACCTGTAAAAGAAGAGGCTGTTCTGTACGACCCCTTCCAATTTTTATGTCCTAGCATTCTCTGCTTTTACAACTGTCACAGTGGAGTAGGATGCTAGCTCTAATGTGCCATCATAATGCTTCCTCTGAACTTCTTACTACTTGTATTTTATAAATAGTTTATATCTCTAAATCACTGTTTATATATTTTAAGCCTCCCTCTT